ACAGTAGAAAGGCATCATGGCACACTCACAAACCAGCATGTAAAACAACTTGTCTCACCACTAAGGATAATGACAGAGGTTTGGCTACACGTCTTCTGCAGAGGATGTGAAAGCCGCACTGCCGTATATCCAAACCTCTGTCATTATCCTTAGTGGTGAGACATGTTGTTTTACATGCTGGTTTGTGAGTGTGCCATGATGCCTTTCTGCTGTTTTACTGTTCAAAGCCCATTTCGTGTGCACCTTACTGTATAACTGGTAACAAATTGTTGAGTGCGTTTGTCGTTTGTTTTGCTTGACCGATTTGGTGCAGCGACGCATGGGGTTTCTCAGCTGCCATTGGGATGTGCGGGATCCCTTGTGTGTTCCTGTGCCTTTAAGGAGGTTGGGCGTCCTCCTGACAAACCTGCACCCAATTTGATATCTTCTGCCCCCATGTGCTCCAAGATGGAGACTCTCATAGTTTAGAGTTAGGACCGCACTATAAGAGGTGCCTTGGCGCGGCTGTGCGGCTTTCACATCCTCTGCAGAAGACGTGTATCCAAACCTCTGTCATTATCCTTAGTGGTGAGATAATGTGCTGCGAATCTCATTCGCTGAGATGTTTCCTCTGTAAATGTCTTATAAATAGGCCTCTTCTGTAACCGTTTATTTCACCAAAAAAGTAATTCAAGTGCAAGTAGAGCCAAACGTTTTGTATAAAATAGAGAGGGGTAACGATACTTTGAGTCCCCACTGGGTAGATTTCCCCTCAACTCGTTCTGATGACAACTGCGCAAAAATGGAGAAATCCAACCATGGAAAAGCAGGTGAAGGGAAATCTCCCAGTGTAGAATATGCCCTTTGGGGAGTTTCTCACACACTTCCTGTGATGTCACTGGAACAGGAAGTGAGCAGAACACAGACAGCAATAAAACAATGACTTCCCCAATTTATCTGTAAAGTTTTGGCTGATGTTCCTCTTTAACCCCTTAAAATATTTTGAATGGAGGGAAGTTAGGAGGCAGAACGTTCCTCCGTGTGGATTTATTTTTTTGTTGCTCTCTCATTTTTCCATCTTACCAGCTTGTTACCCCACAATGTCACACTGCGACCTAGGACAATCATAAATAAAAGAAAAGAAAAAAAATGGGCAATTTTTTGCAGACAAATGAGATGCAGGATAATGAAAGTCAATTATTTATCCACAAATAATAAATAATCCCTCTTCATTAATCTGTGCATTCCAGGACAGGAAATCGGTGATCAGAGGGGCTGTGTAGAGAATCGTCCTGTAGAGATGATCATTTTTATAACATGGAGGAAATTACCAACAGCGAGCCAACCCGCCCTTCAGCCCAAACCCCCCCCACCAAGCCCTTCAGTCCCCCCCCAAGCCCTTCCCCTGGTCCTCATTACTACATACCGGGCAATGTCCTTGGCCACTTTGTCATTGGGACAAGTGACGTAGGCGGCGGAGAGGGATCCAGATACGTAACCCTCGGTGGCCATTGAGAATGCTCGCAATCCTATAAGCCTCAGAAGCAGAGGAGACATATACACCACGACGGCCTGAGAATTGGGGTAAAGACAAAAAAATCTCTAATTTTCATACCAGCAAAACGCCATCTACAGAACATAAAAAACAGAAACTTAGACCACTGGGGACAAATGAATATGGAATCCAGGAGCCAGTCTGTCCAATACAGGAGCCATTGACATCAACTAGAGGAAACCTCCAAAGTTAGGCACCAGCTGTCATCTTTAAGGAGCATTGGCGACCTGGCTCCTGGAATTTGTCCAACCCTGACTTAAGACTAATATACTGTACATAAGAATGCTGATGATGTCCCAGCATGCCGTGCCAGCACGAGTCTACCTTTATACAATGAATTCCTACCTGCTGCCTGCTTTTAGAACCAATTGTGCCTTCAACTCAAAGCGCAGATGTTGTACCCAAAAGCCATTTTCACTGCTTGCAAAGCAAGAGACTGCTGTTTGAGAGCTCTCTTCTTTTACTGATTGACTTGCATCTAGAGTATCAGCAGACTGTATTCCAAGGGATTGTCATGTTAGAGACTGCTCCCAAGGTACAGGAGAGTGCTAGAGAATCCGGCCGGTACACTGAAAAATCCCTGTCAGCTGGCCCTGGTGGAGGGGTTGCAGATCCCTGAAATGTGATGGCTCTCCATTGATAAACATTTATGCTTCATACAGCTGATCACACTATAGAGCAGAAGGCAACCACCACACCCTCCAGAAAGGACAGTGCCCGTGTGCTTAAGGATGCTCTATTGAAAGGGGCAGGCACCCTCAGCATTCCAGTTGTTGTAAAACTACAAATCCCGACATGCCTTTGCCTCTTGGAGTCATGCCTGAGGCTTGCAATGCCTCATGGGGTTTGTAGTTTCACCACAGATGGAGTGTGGAGGTTGCCTACCCCTGCTATAGAGCATTCTTAAGCACACAGGCACTGTCCTTTCTGGAGGTTGCCTACTCCTGCTCTATAGTGTAATAGTTTATATGATGCATAAATGTTTATCAATGGAGAGCCATCACATTTCAGGGATCTGCAACCCCTTCATCTGGACCACCTGACACAGGGATTATCCAATCAGATTGTTCAGGTATTTTGAAAGCCAGCGGGACCCACTAGCAAGATACTGAAGCTTGGCCCAGCGGGAGATTCCTCCATCCACACAGTGTAGCGTAGATGGAGGAATCTGTTGCACTTTTTCCATCTGACCATAGAAAGTCTGCAGATCATCTATAGGTGTATGGCCAGCTAAAGGAGCCTCTCTTACTGACCACCAGTATAAGGAGGAGCCTCTCTTACTGACCACCAGTATAAGGAGGAGCCTCTCTTACTGACCACCAGTATAAGGAGGAGCCTCTCTTACTGACCACCAGTATAAGGAGGAGCCTCTCTTACTGACCACCAGTATAAGGAGGAGCCTCTCTTACTGACCACCAGTATAAGGAGGAGCCTCTCTTACTGACCACCAGTATAAGGAGGAGCCTCTCTTACTGACCACCAGTATAAGGAGGAGCCTCTCTTACTGACCACCA